ATGGAGGTCTATCACATGGTCAGAGACAATTACTCTGTTTGGCAAGAGCAATGATCCGAAATTCTTCAGTAAGCCTTACAGATTTACTTAATGACATAGATCCTTGTTTTAGATGAAGCTACCAGTAGTATTGATCACCAAACAGATCAAATTGTCCAAAAGGCTATCCGGGAGAATTTCCAAAACACTACACTTTTATCAATCGCGCATCGCATATCCACCATTATTGACTATGACAAAATCATTGTGTTGGAGAAAGGAGAACTAGCAGAGTTTGGTACCCCTCAAGAGTTGTTGGACAATCCAGACTCTTTGTTTTACTCACTTGCAAAAGAGAGTGGTCTTGTCTAGTTGAAGCATAGTTTCTTATAATAAAATATTCATCTAGTAACCTTTTTATTGCAACGTTGGTCCAATGAACAGCAAAAGTCAATGTGTTTGGGACATCTATGTTTGCTTCAAATTGATACGCACGGCATGTTATTTGTTCACCCTCTCTTCTATAAATACTCAGTATGTCTTCAAAAACAAACAAGTGGCATTTCAAATCTTATTTACTATGCTAGTGAAGAAAGTATCCAACCGAGTATGAAGTATCCAACAGGGGTAGAATCCAAGAGAGTCAAAATGGCAAAAACGACAGCTGCAGGATTCGAACCTGCGCCCTCAGAGAGGAATTGATTTCTAGTCAATCACGTTAACCACTCCGTCAAGCTGTCTGGTGCATCCGGTGGGTTTCGAACCCACGCCTCTTTCGAGATTCGAGCTTAAGTCGAACGCCTTAGACCACTCGGCCACAAATGCTTGAAAGGAAGTATTTAATTTGATATATAGTCTAGTGCTACTGTGTCACCTAGAATTTCTCCATTTTGACTCCAATTGGTATCAGAAACACTACCTAAACATCTCTACATACCACTACTAATTCAATTTCCCTTCCCCTTCAGTGTTCTACGATTGAAACCAATAAAAACGAGATACTTCTTTCCCAATTAGCCTATATATTGACCATCATTCATTCAAATCATTCAGAATCAGGGTTTTTGCGAGATGTTCTTTATACACAAGAGATTTGGATGTCAGAGTTAAGATGTGAGCGATCACCTTTATATAATCTAAAAGATATTATAACTGTGTTTCTCAAAGTCGTATTCAGCTTTTGATAAACTTTGCAAAAGCATCAGTCTCATTTATATCAGACACAATCATAGCAAGTGTATCAACTTTATTTTGATATAAGCTGTGAACGAAAGAATGTCACAGTTCTATTCAATGCTAGAATCTGAGCTTCCATCACCAAAGGAGTCTCAGGATTCCCTCGAGACGTGAACCCATGAAACATATTCTCATAAACATACAATTCTTGTGGTGGACTGACCAGAGCTTGAACCGTGTCAATAAGCGTTTGTGGAAACTGACCATCGGGTGAGATATCATCATCGGAAATGTTAAAGATACCGGGGATCTTGATACCAGTGAGATCCAAAGTTTTTGAGCCAGTTGGATGGTGGGTTGCAAATGCATCTACCAGCCCAAGGATACCTGTCATGGTTGAGTATTTACCTCCCCAGCAAAACCCAGTGGAAAAGATTTTTGCGTTTGGATATTGCTCTCGTAATGCACCAATTATAGTTTCCAAACGTTGCACTACATCTTCTTGTACTATATTTGCCCGAAACTCTTCACCCCAAACTAATTTATCATTCACAGTACAGTGAGAGAATTGAGCGTCATCCTCAGCCAATGGTTTACCTTGTAGAATACATTCTTTAGCACTGGCAGAGCACCATAATGCACCGTTGAACAAATCCGGCATTATTACTTGAAGGCCAGTTTCAAACGCATAAGCATCGGCCAATAGACGACCATTTCCAAACTTCCAACCCATCGCATCATGAATGTATAAAATTACTGCATCAGTGCTTTTCACCAAAGATTTGTCTGTTATATAACTATCAAACCCAGCGAAAGAAGAACTTTGACCAGAAGGATTTCCTTCCCATTTGAAAGTTTCTTTACATGGACAAATCGGATTCTGTTCCTTGTTTTTAACTGTAATTGTGACTTTTACTTGCATTTCCTTCTACATTCGATGTAAAATTCTTCTATAATTTATATTCTACCAAATGTGGCACACTGCTCAAAGTCCCCATTGTTTTAGATGGATTGGGAAATTATTAACTTACCAACGAAACAATTCCGAAAAAAAAGCACAAATTGATACATGTGCGTAAACACAAAGTTTTTATGAGTCATAGTTTCCCAATTAAATGGCAGAGGAAAGTTATCCAAGATCAACTGACTGTATAAGAATGTCTCTTGTATTTTGAATTGTCGCAATAATGTCTTCAATAGTTACTGTATTGTGTTTTATATCTATTATATTCTATGACTACTTTTCAAACATATAAAACCCCTTGAACCATTCTTCGACCGTGTAAGATATTCGCTAATGATGAATTACGACTCATAATTCATCTTACGAGAAGTTACAAGAAGTGAATGAAATGTGATAGTTACCTCAGACACTTTGCAAACGTTCTCCTGGCATATTATCATATCTAATCATGAACGATAAGCCTAATGGAAAGTCTTTAAAGGGATTTAGTTTGGGCCATTAGTGATGTAATTATAATGTTGGCCATATTGAAAAAGTAGATTTGATAGCGTGACTACCTTTGAAGTGCATGTGTTTGTGTAAATACAGAACACAGCCTTTTTTCAGCATCGAAACTGTAGATGAGAAAACTTATCTATTTCTTATTCAAAATAGACAAAACGGTATATCAGTTGTATCATTACTATTCTTTGTCCAATACAACTAAACTGTCCACTTTTGTGTATATTAGTTTACAAATCACACGAAGAAGTTATTGTTCTCTTTTCGAAGCAAAAATAAAAATCATTCCATTATTGTTATCAGATTCAACTATATGGAAACCAATTGATTTCAGTAAATTCAAGCACCAAGATTGAGATACTGCCAATTTATGATACCACGAAGTGCATAACTCCCAAGCACCAATTCCTACAATGTTATATTCTTTTGAACCAAATTACCTTTTTTAACATGTATTAGATCATTAACCTTGATGGTACAACCAGTACCATCCTCCTCTGTTGCATTATTCTCCCACTCTAAAAAGCAAGTGAACACAGTTCGCTCATCTGATCTTATGGGAATAAATCTATCTGTATCAACTAGTGGTCGTGACAAATCTCTAAACTGTAAGAGAAATATTCCATTTTCGTGTAGTGTAGAGAATGTTTTTTGGAATAACCCTTCGATGGTTTCTAATGAATCCAAATGTGCTAGAAATAAATTTAAACTATAGGAGCTTACTCAACGTGTCACCCATACATATGATTGCATTTGGTGAATCAGGGGTTACCTCATCTTTCAGTGTAGGAAAATTGACCAGGTCCCCTTCTATGGTATTTAATTTATCAATCAAGTTTCGACTTTTAGCGACGATTTGTAGTTCATCTATCAACTGAGGTGAACTGTCAATAGCAATCACATTGTAATCCAACTGTAACAAGGGAATCGTTTGAAATCCAGTACCACATCCAAGATCGATAGCTAAATTAAAACCATCCTTAGCCTTTGGCAAGAACTGAGAGAGTATCTGTAAATTTGATTTATACGTCAGAGTTGAATCACCAAACATCCAAGTATAGTGCTCTCTAAGATAAGTAAATAAAGAAAAGAATACATACGAAAGCAACGACTGATAATGCAATTTGACTCTTTGATAATTGGATGACATTTTATTGTTTATCATTGACAGAGAAGAGAGTGGACGATGGTGGATAAACGATGGATGAGGTAAGCATCAGAATGTGGCTGATGACGTGATTCTGAAAAACACCAAATAGCTTATTTTATAATTATTCGATAATTGAAAAGATCACAGTTAAATTCTCTATCATATGTCATTGATGATTATTTTCCGCAACACGCGCATCTTTTTAAAACCAAATCAAGATGATTTGGGACATTGGGTGAACCATCTTCCAAAAATAATTTATCAATTTATGAAGATTTTATTTGATCTAATTTGAGCTTCATGGCAAACAATGTTACGTAGGCAGTCACTTGGCAGAAATTACTAGGGATATCAAATAGACGTTCCTTCAATGCCACTCTAGGAATATAATTGAACAAACAAACCAACTGCAGAAGTATCATCACTACACCATACTTTGCTATTATTCTGGGTACCTGACTGTTATCATTTTTTAAACTTGCCATTGGGGGATTTTTCGACATTTTGAGTAATCTTTGAAATCGTACCATATAGAAAATATCATTCACAAATACAAACATTGATGCAAAGATAGATGATATTCCATAAACTGTTTGATATTGTTCCATATTCAAGGGCAAAAATACTGCAAATGATCCAACATTGAAAGAAAATATACTCAAGATTGACAAATATTTGATCAATTGACGTTCCCATGGTTTTGCTAATACAAACACGCAAGTTGTTCGAAAGTATAATAATATAATATAAGGTGAATAACATATAGAATTCATTAGAAAACATCCCAATTTCCAATAGACTTCTATCATTTTCGGGTTTCCCACCAGTGGGATTTCGTATTCGCAAAATAGATGTATAGATTTTGAGATAAATATTGATACACAACAACCATTAAAAATCGTTAATCTACTCTTCATATATATAAATTCGTATATGATAAAGGTTACTGCACAGATTGCCATAATGGAACAAAACACTAAGCTGGATATACTTAGAATGAGTGTCACATTCATTCTATTTTACAAGAAAAGTATGGAAAGTGTGAGTGAATGACGTGTTTTATCAAATCTTAATACAAGACTGATCTTAAAGTATCAATATTCTGGACAACTTACTATTTATTATATTTTAACTTTAACCATTCTATCCTGGAAATATCGTTTTGCATGGTTACATATCTGATCTTGATTTGATATACCACCAATATGATAATTTCTCAATGAACTCAGATAAGATGCATCTTCGCAATGATTGAATACTTTACTGCCACTTCCCCTAATTGTAAACTTTATAACCACTACTTTACCACCTCAATGGCTCGTATTAAGACTTTGGGCGGATCAGGAAAAAGGGCACACGATAAGACAAACATAGTTCAACACAAATTATTAGATCTTGTATATACATATCATGAACAATTTATTTAGAATGCAGATGATCTAATTTTAATTTCATAGCAAACATTGTTATATAGGCAGACACTAAACATAAATCAATTGGAATATCAAACAACCGTTGTTTGAATACCAATCTAAAAATATAATTGAGTAAACAACCCAACTGTAAAAGTGTCATCACTAATCCATATTGTGATACGATCTTTGGTTTGAAATCAATCGTTTGTTCAGTCCAAACCTTTCCATCAATTGTTGAATTTTGTGCTTGAACATTTTTAAACATTTTGAGTAACAATCGAAATCTTAACATATAAAAGATATCATTGACAAATACTAATATGGAAGCAATAAGGGATGAGATACCATAAACAATTTGATATTGTTCAAGATTCAATGGTAAAAATACTGCAAAGGATCCAATGTTGTAAGAAAATATTGTAAAAATTACGAAATATTTGATTAATTGTCTTTCCCATGGTTTTGCTAATACAAACACGCAAGTTGTTCGAAAATAGAGGAATGTAAGATAAGGTGAATGACAGGTGGAATTCATTAGAAAACATCCCAATTTCCAATAGACTTCTTCCATTTTCGTGTTTGTTACTAGTGGGATTTGATATTCACAATAGAGATGGAT